AGCATGAATGGTTGCGTAAGTTGATGCATCATGCAATTGGACCTGGCTACGTTTCAAAGTTTGTGAGCCAATAATTAATCTAATAATTAATGCAATTGGACTTTTCAATTTTAATGTAATTTATTCATAGAATATAATTAAATTGTTATCAACAAGTTGTTATTATATATAGGTTTATGTTGATTTAGTTATAGCTTTTTCAATAACATATAATTACATTTATGCCCCTAAGGTTCGGGTCTAGTATACAAAATTATGTAGTTTAAACTATCAGATAGACCTTATAATTCTAATAGACGTTAACGTATATAAGAGTAAAACGGATAATTCACGCGTACACGAAGAGAAAAACATGCAATTCACTCTTTAATTTACTATTCTCTTAACAAAAAAAAAAAAAATGTTATTGTAGAATTAAGATTTGATTATCGATTGCTAGCGTGAGGAGAATATTCCTTAATTTAGTTATAGCTTTTTCAATAACATTTAAAAAGATATAATTACAACTACCCCTAAAGTTCTAGTCTAGTATTCCAAATCTTACAATTTAAACTATCAAATAGACCCTCATAATTCTAATAGACATTAACCTATATATGGGTATAATGGATAATTATACGAAAAGAAAAATATATAACTCACTCTTTTCTGTATAAAAAATGTTGTTTTAGAGTTAAGACTTGATTAGCGATTGTTAGTTTCTTAGTGTTGGATTTAATTATGTGAAAGGGTAAGAAAATAATTTACAAAGTGCTTACTTATTAAAAATTAAACTAACGTAAATAAATAGATTTTAAAAGACAAAAAGAAATAAAAAAATAAAATAAAAAGAGGTTGACAAAATTATCAGAATTAGGCATAAAAAATTTTGTCGACAGACGATAGCCTGTTGAAAGACATCGTTAAAATTAATTTTACATGTAAAAGATACTAAAAGACACAACAATTAATCCGTGAGTCTTCTGTAAATCTTATGCTTCAAGCTAGTCAATAAGGGGAAAAAATATATGAGAAAAAATGGAAACAATATAGAACAATAACCGCCAAGGTTATTGAGTCCATTAAGCAAGTTTAAGGAGCTTGTTCCTCTAGCTTCGAAGGGTGGAAGATCCAATTGCCCTGCCATGGCTATTTGTTCAATTTTCAGTGGAAATAGAACAGAAATCTGATTATTATTAACAACAAAAGAGCTCCATTATATAGGAGAAACCAAGAATGCTCTTCACGTTTACTAAAACACTAGCGGGAAACAAGAGATAAAGTGATAAACATCAAGTATACCCTAAACATTGCAACACACGATTAGCACTAGTCTAGAAAAGGGGCTGTTGTTGTCATTGTCCAGATTACCCGGTGTGGTTAGATGAAGTCGTGGATCTCCAGCCCGTTACCATACCTCTGCTCGTTGTCCAGCCCTCTATGCTGACCTAGCTTGTTTTTTGCAGCACCCAGATGAGATTCTCTCATCTATGAAGCGGTTCAATAAAAACCCGGATACAGACCTGGAAACCCACTCGGATACTGATAGCCGTGGGTTGTTGAATGCGCAACAAAGAAGTTATTCAGGGAGGCTAGACAGCTTCCTACATGGGCTAAGGATTATGTTACTTAAGAAATACGTGTTTTATCAAGGGCCCGCGGGTACATGCGCAAGGTTTCATTTATGATGCAGTGAAGATAAGGAAGCTGAGACAAATCTGATTCAGCTATTAGAAGATCATGTCCAATGGATTGTCGATTTCGTCTTGTGCCTTTCGCAAAACTTTCGGATTGTTTATAGAAGGGACATAGCCCCCTCCATGGTGGCTGCTGAAGTATCATCGATGATTAATGTCCACGAATCTTCCAACTCAAAAGCTGATCTATGGTTGATATTAGTAGTGCCACCCATGCCAAGTCTACCTTCCCTGCCTTTTAACATTAGAGTGCCCAAGCTGTAATTATGATCAAATAATTGCCAGATCTACCGAATGGAATTCCATTATCCCTCTTCCCAGGCAAATCAGATGGTCCTAGCAAATCAGACATTTCTAATGATAAAGAGAGGCTGCCCTCTTTTTATATAGTAAACCAAGGAGGTTAGAGCCTGATAGAACTGTGAATCCTATTTGGTAGATGAGTCTCAATTAAAAGGAAGTGTTATCACTTGTTTTTATTAAATTAGAGTTACACTTCAAGTAAAATTTTAGATCTTGCTAATGAAATGTAATAGGATTTGATTTTTATTCTGGATTGTCGTGGGTTGGGCTAGAACTAGATTTAGCTTAACTTGTAGGATAACCTAACTCATAGAGCGATCAATTCACAAATAGATTTAAGGTAAGTCCAACCAGAATTTGGCTAAGACACTAAGCCATACTATATTTATTTCTTTATTGAGTCTTGTCAAACCCATACGATTTTTGGTTCATGCAACTCTAAGATTGTAAATCATAATAAAATTGTTTTAATGACATGATATTTAAATTTCACCGTTTTACAAGTGATAATTTTCCAATTCCCACAATGTACAAGACCCTATAGGTTATACTTAAACTATATGGGCTAGGCCCAAAGTGTGGTTGAGTGTAGGCTGTTACAAGCTAAGACATGTGAGATATACCGTTGAATTCATAGTTATACTCTACTATTAATTTAAAAAGTATGAAATCATTTAACACAAAAATATAAAGTTCATAAGATAAGAGGTTTGTAATATTTTAAACAATCTATGAATATTAATATAAAGTTGAATGTAATATTATATCGACATAATATTTAATGTAAAATTTGTAAAATTTTAGTAATAAAGGTGTGTCATGTCATTTTTCATAGCAGTCATAACGTAGAAAACTGTTTAACACTTACTATTATCAAATACTATAGATCATGTTACAAATTCATCGTATCTCCATTATATTTCTAATATTAGTCTATAATCAATATTTTCTCTACATCACATTGAAGGGTATCCATAAATAACAATTAGTAGATTGACAAATTATTTCAAGTCAACGTCAATAGAGAAATATGAATAAGTTACAATGATTTCAAATATGTAACAAGATTAATTAAAATTACTACTTACCTAATGCGACTATTTATCAACTTATTTTTTTTGTTTCTTCGTTTAATAAACATATGTGGTCCATATTTGCTTATTAGTCATAATTTTGTATTGATTAAACAATAAAGATAGACTGACAAACTCTTCTTACAAACTTTCTCTTACAAACGCAACGTGACAGTTCACAATTAGTCAGACGGACCTTTGTTAAACAGGCGGGGTCTTTGCGAGCTGACCAATTGAGAGCTGTCACGTTGTATTTGTAAGAAAATTAGTGAGAAAGAATTTGCCAGCGTAGTATTACCCATTATTAAAATAAAACTATGATTAAGAGAGAATCATTATTAAAACCGAAACCCTTTTCACTAATAGAAGGATTACAATTAAAAAGAAATGTCATCCACCATGTGACTAACAAAGTCACAATAATTTAGGTTTCAATTAAATGTGGATAAAATAGCATGAAACATTATTCATATTTCTCCCAATCATTATTTATTGTTGTGCAATAAATCTGTCACGAACTGTGCTAACTATCAACGCTTAGATTCATGTCACGTGTCATTCCCTTGCAAAGTTGTTTCGCTTGCAAGATGACCAATCCAACAGTGAGAAATTTGACTCCAAATCTGGATTGGGGGATTTTACAGAAGAAACTTCCCTTCAAACAACTCTCAACCACCCTCTGAGGGAGAATAAAAAGGAGAGAGCCTCCATTCACGGAGAAAAAAAAACTCAAAGCGAAAGAGAGTTCATTTTTGTAAACATAGTACAAGTGTAAAAACACAAAGAGAAATACAATAACAGTGAACGTAGAATTTGTTTATCGCTTCCGAATCGTTTTAAAAACTGTTCCATCTTTGTTCTTTGGTTTTTCTTTTGAGGTTTCATCTTGATTTAACATCAAAATATTGACTTGGCTTCTCTCAAATCCTTACATAGACTTCACTACATACTTCACGTTGATGCACAATTGAGCAGCAACATTTATCAAATTTTCTATCTTACAAAATCAATTTTATTCTCTTTCCATCTTTTTGCTTCAAAATCAAGTAAGTATTTTTTTCTTTCAAATTTATTAGTTTATTTTGTTAAATTATTATTATTATCTATTATTTTCTAGTTCTAATATTTTTACATTCAATAAATTTTAATTATTTTAGATCAATAATCCTAGTTCAATTATTATTATTATCATTATTATTTTTGTAGTTATACTATACTTGGAAGGAATTAATTAATTAACATCCACATTGCTATAAGACAATTATAGATTTAATCAATAAATAAATTATCAATTGTTAACTTTTGCATTTGCATTCAACTTCGTTTTAGTAGAAATTTTTGCAAGAGGTAAGGTTTAATTTGTCCCCTTTGTTTAGTGTAATCTTTTTATTTGTTCTTATAATAAAATTCTTCATACCGTCAAGGCTTAACCAAAAAAAAAAAAAAAAAAAAACCTATTATTAAAAAAATTGATGATGCCTCCCTCAACAAAAAATATTGGGTTTGTCACTACATCCATGTAAAGTTTGTATGCACAGAAACAACGTGTATATTAATTATTATTATTATTATTATTTGTAAGTAATTCGTATCATTAAAAGGGAGAAAGAATATACAGAAAAGTCATAAAAAATTCAACCATCCTATCTCATGACAAATCTTGGGAAAAGAATAAAAACACAAACTTAATAGATTGAGAACTATCTTACAGTAATTAATTTACTAAGAAAAAAAGTTAAAAATATCTTTTAGCTGTAAAAAGAAGTAAAAATTTAAAATAATTGATCCTGTTAGATGATGAAGATTTGGTAAAATAAAATGAACAGAAAATCCAGATTCCTATGAAAAAGGTTTGATTAATCATTTAATTTAGCTACAAAAAAATCCTGGTTTCGCTTTTAGTTTTCTTTACAAACAAACAAGATTTGTAACATCTGGATTCAAACCCTCAAATTTGTCTAACTATTTCTCTTATGGATGAGTATGTTCTCATCACTCCAACTGAAATAGCGATAACTATGATTCCTACAATCATCAAAACTTCGAAACCCCATTTCTGATAACTTCCAGAAATCTTCAAGTAGCATAAGCATGGCAGCAGAATGGAAACAGTCACATTAAGAATCCCTCCAATGAGTGCCATTAGTGATCCAAAAAATGGGAAAACTATAGCCACAATCACCGTGCTGATCACTAGGGATGTTCTTATGAGCATGCATATTGGCCTTATGTTATAATAATAATTGGGCTAGCGGCTTTCGATGGCGTTTGCAACTGGTGTAATTATAAGGGCATATTTAGTGATTGCACATATTAAAGTGGTGTATATTGCGATCCTTGAGTTCACTTTGCTTGTGGGTAGATTTAATGTCACTTGTGATGAAACATCTGAACCAAACATTGAGTAACCAAGAACAGCCATGGCCATGTACTTAAAGTACTAAGACCAAAGCTGATAAAAAGAACCTGTAAAGAAAAACCAAATAATTTGAAGTTAATATTGGTTACAAATGACATTGCTTTTTTAAGATAAATTATGTTATTTGTAACAAGGAATTGGTATGTTTATACTCAAAACAAAATGGAGGATATCATACTAATATTAAGGTTTTTGAATTTATTATTCAAATGACAATTTTTATCAAATACCCCTTGCCCTAAAAAGACTACTTCAAGGCCAACGTTTGGAAATAATTTGTGTAAATTATCACCTTCTAGTATCAAGAATCCTGTGGGGACTAAATAAAGTTCAAGATACATGAAAGTTGATATGATCATCTTTCCCTTTTTGCCAAATGCATATGAGCCTACTTCGGGGTAAGCTTTGATTGATGAATTGGCGTCCATACATCGCTGTAGGAGTAGCCCTGTGTAGCAAGTTATAATCGCCATTACAAGAAGAAGACCAAGGCTTAACCAGCCGGCTTGTGCGAGTGCATATGGAATGGTTATTAATCAAATTCCTGAAATTTGAAACAACTAAATTTAATACGTGATACTTCTGTAAATCTTATGCTTCAAGCTAGTCAATAAGGGGAAAAAATATATGAGAAAATGGAAATCAATATAAGAACAATAACCTGACAAGGTTATTGAGTCCATTAAAGCAAGTTTTAAGGAAGCTTGTTCCTCTAGCTTCGAAGGGTGGAAGATCCAATTGCTCTGCCATGGCTATTTGTTCAATTTTCAGTGGAAATAGAACAGAAATCTGATTATTATTAACAACAAAAGAGCTCCATTATATAGGAGAAACCAAGAATGCTCTTCACGTTTAACTAAAACACTAGCGGGAAACAAGAGATAAAGTGATAAACATCAAGTATACCCTAAACATTGCAACACACGATTAGCACTAGTCTAGAAAAAGGGGCTGTTGTTGTGCATTGTCCAGATTACCCGGGGTGTGGTTAGATGAAGTCGTGGATCTCCAGCCCGTTACCATACCTCTGCTCGTTGTCCAGCCCATCTATGCTGACCTGAGCTTGTTTTTTGCAGCACCCAGATGAGATTCTCTCATCTATGAAGCGGTTCAATAAAAACCCGGATACAGACCTGGAAACCCACTCGGATACTGATAGCCGTGGTGTGTTAGGAATGCGCAACAAAGAAGTTATTCAGGGAGGGCTAGACAGCTTCCTACATGGGCTAAGGATTATGTTACTTAAGAAGATACGTGTTTTATCAAGGGCCCTGCTGGGTACATGCGCAAGGTTTCATTTATGATGCAGTGAAGATAAGGAAGCTGAGACAAATCTGATTCAGCTATTAGAAGATCATGTCCAATGTGATTGTCGATTTCGTCTTGTGCCTTTCGCAAAACTTTCGGATTGTTTAGTAGAAGGGACATAGCCCACTCCATGGTGGCTGCTGAAGTATCATCGATGATTAATGTCCACGAATCTTCCAACTCAAAAGCTGATCTATGGTTGATATTAGTAGTGCCACCCATGCCAAGTCTACCTTCCCTGCCTTTTAACATTAGAGTGCCCAAGCTGTAATTATGATCAAATAATTGCCAGATCTACCGAATGGAATTCCATTATCCCTTCTTCCCAGGCAAATCAGATGGTTCCTAGGCAAATCAGACATTTCTAAATGAATAAAGAGAGGGCTGCCCTCTTTTTATATAGTAAACCAAGGAGGTTAGAGCCCTGATAGAACTGTGAATCCTATTTGGTAGATGAGTCTCAATTAAAAAGGAAGTGTTATCACTTGTTTTTATTAAATTAGAGTTATCACTTCAAGTAAAATTTTAGATCTTGACTAAAGTGAAATGTAAATAGGATTTGATTTTTATTCTTGGATTGTCGTGGGTTGGGCTAGAACTAGATTTAGCTTAACTTGTAGGATAACCTAACTCATAGAGCGATCAATTCACAAAGTAGATTTAAGCGTAAGTCCAACCAGAATTTGGCTAAGACACTAAGCCATACTATATTTATTTCTTTATTGAGTCTTGTCAAACCCAATACGATTTTTGGTTCATGCAATCTCTAAGATTGTAAATCATAATAAAATTGTTTTAATGACATGATATTTAAATTTCACCGTTTTACAAGTGATAATTTTCCAATTCCCACAATGTAACAAGACCCTCATAGGTTATACTTAAACTATATGGGCTAGGCCCAAAGTGTGGTTGAGTGTAGGCTGTTACAAGCTAAGACATGTGAGATATACCGTTGAATATCATAGTTAATACTCTACTATTAATATTAAAAAGTATGAAAATCATTTAACACAAAAATATAAAGTTCATAAGATAAGAGGTTTGTAATATTTTAAACAATCTATAGAATATTAATATAAAGTTGAATGTAATATTATATCGACATAATATTTAATGTAAAATTTGTAAAATTTTAGTAAATAAAGGTGTGTCATGTCATTTTTTCATAGCAGTCATAACGTAGAAAACTGTTTAACACTTACTATTATCAAATACTATATGATCATGTTACAAATTCATCGTATCTCCATTATATTTCTAATATTAGTCTATAATTCAATATTTTCTCTACATCACATTGAAGGGTATCCATAAAAAAACAATTAGTAGATTGACAAATTATTTTCAAGTCAACGTCAATAGAGAAATATGAATAAGTTACAATGATTTCAAATATGTAACAAGATTAATTAAAATTACTACTTACCTAATGCGACTATTTATCAACTTATTTTTTTTGTTTCTCTCGTTTAATAAACATATGTGGTCCATATTTGCTTATTAGTCATAATTTTGTATTTGATTAAACAATAAAGATAGACTGACAAACTCTTCTTACTAACTTTCTCTTACAAACGCAACGTGACAGTTCACAATTAGTCAGACGGAACCTTTTGTTAAACAGGCGGGGTCTATTGCGAGCTGACCAATTGAGAGCTGTCACGTTGTATTTGTGAAAGAAAATTAGTGAGAAAGAATTTGCCAGCGTAGTATTACCCATTATTAAAATAAAACTATGATTAAGAGAGAATCATTATTAAAACCGAAACCCTTTTCACTAATAAGAAGGAATTTACTAATTAAAAAGAAATAGGTCAATCCACCATGTGACTAAGCAAAGTCACAATAATTTAGGTTTCAATTAAATGTGGATTAAAATAGCATGAAACATGATTCATATCACACAAGCACGCTTTTGCATTAATCAATTAAACATTTGATAAATGATGTAAGCACTAGAACCCATATAGCATTAGGAATATCAATAAATATAATTAAGTAAAATCATCACTAGATTATCCTAAACTAGAGTTGAATGTTAGCCAATCCATGCATGGAATTACACTGTATCTTGGCCTTGCGCATGACTTCTTGCATAAGAATGATGTAAGAAATCATCAACACCCACCAAATTAAAAAAGATTAATCTAATAATTTATTTATTTATTTATCATCTTACTTCATATTGCTCTTTAATTAATTGTTAAAATAATTATTAATTAAAGGATATGATAAGTGAAATTAATGATACGATAACTTATACAATTAGGCATCAAATTAATTAAGTCAAGTGATCAAGCATGAATGGTTGCGTAAGTTGATGCATCATGCAATTGGACCTGGCTACGTTTCAAAGTTTGTGAGCCAATAATTAATCTAATAATTAATGCAATTGGACTTTTCAATTTTAATGTAATTTATTCGTAGAATATAATTAAATTGTTATCAAGAAGTTGTTATTATATATAGGTTTATGTTAATTTAGTTATAGCTTTTTCAATAACATATAATTACATTTATGCCCCTAGGGTTCGGGTCTAGTATACAAAATTATGTAGTTTAAACTATCAGATAGACCCTATAATTCTAAATTTCTAATAGACGTTAACGTATATAAGAGTAAAACGGATAATTCACGCGTACACGAAGAGAAAAACATGTAATTCACTCTTAAATTTACTATTCTCTTAAAAAAAAAAAAAATGTTATTTTAGAATTAAGATTTGATTAGCGATTGCGAGCGTGGGGAGAATATTCCTTAATTTAGTTATAGCTTTTTCAATAACATTTAAAAAGATATAATTACATCTATCTCTGAAGTTCAGAATCTAGTATTCCAAATCTTACAATTTAAACTATCAAATAGACTCTCATAATTCTAATAGACATTAACTTATATAAGGGTAGATTAGATAATTCACTCATATACGAAAAGAAAAATATATAACTCACTCTTTTTTGTATAAAAAATGTTGTTTTAGAGTTAAAACTTGATTAACGATTGTTAGTTTCTTGGTGTTGGATTTAATTATGTGAAAGGGTAAGAAAATAATTTACAAAGTGCTTACTTATTAAAAATTAAACTAACGTAAATAAATAAATAAATAGATTTTAAAAGACAAAAAGAAATAAAAAAATAAAATAAAAAGAGGATGACAAAATTGTCAGAATTAGGCATAAAATTTGTGTCGACAGACGATAGCCTGTTGAAAGACATCGTTAAAATTAATTTTACATGTAAAAGATACTAAAATAGAAAATAAAAAATTGTATCATAATATTATTATTATTTTTTTAACAAAAGAAAGGAAATTTAAATTGACTGGCGGTCACAGGACAAAATTACCCCAAACAAATACTGAAATTCCCAACCGACTCCCTAACCGCTTAACGAACTCTTTCTCCTTTCTTCTTCATTCATCTCCCAAAACTTGTAGTATCTCCCTCTTCACTGTAACAATCAGCTCACACTTTCTTTTAATTAAATTTATTTTTTCTCAAAACTATTTTATTCTTTTTCAGTCAACACCCGATCTCCACCATCCACTCACTGTAACACTGTCTCATCAATGGTTATAAATATGCCTTCTTTCACTCTTACTTCCACCGCCATCACCACCACTACTGTCCATGGACTCCTCAATTTCTAGTTCCGCTTCGCTCTCCGCTCTGAAGTTCCGTTGCTTCGATCCTACCTACGCTTACTCTGCAACAACCGCCAATCACAGCCGCTTATTGTCCAACTTGTCTCCGAGGAGTTTCGCTGTGAACTCCAGGGGCAATATGGAGACTTCCGAGAATTCGGAACGTAAAATCGTTACTGGTGACGCCGGTTATGTTCTCGAAGATGTTCCGCATTTAACGGATTATGTTCTCGATCTTCCAGTAACTAAGTCTTCTCCCTGAACTCTCTCTGTTTTTTGCTTGTTTAGTTAACTACTGTTTGGTTGACGAGAAAATGAAGGAAAAGTGAAGAAACATGAAGAAAGTAAATTTTATATTAAAATTTAATTAAAAATTGGAACTTTGTTAATTAATGCTGAGGTGTCTTTTCATAAAGGTGGGTAACTAAAAACAGAGAGGCTAAGGCTTTGTTTGGATGCATTTTCATTTTATATATTTATTTATTTTAATGTGGTGCAGACATATCCGAATCCATTGCAAGACAATCCATCTTATTCTGTTGTTAAGTAAGTTTTATTTGTATTTGTTTGATTAATGGATTTGTTTATAGAAGATGATCACAGAGTTGATGATTTGACTTTAATATTATGCTCTGTTTTACCAGGCAATATTTTGTTAACCTTGATGACACTGTTGCGCAAAAAGTAAGCTAATTTTATTGCTGTGTCAATTTTGTTAATTCTGACATCGTTTTGATCGAATTTTGCAGTTCTAGTTCTTATTTTACGTTCTTTCATGTAGATTGTTGTTCAGAAGGATAGTCCAAGAGGGACGCATTTTAGGCGTGCCGGACCTCGTCAGAAGGTTTGTAATTTTTCCTGGAAGTTCCTTAATTTTCTTGTTCTGTATAGTATATATGCAAATCAGAACCATGACATGCTTTATCGTGTGTTTTCAGATCTATTTTGAATCAGATGAAGTATATGCTTGTATTGTAACTTGTGGTGGCCTTTGCCCCGGTCTGAATACGGTAATAAGAGAAATAGTATGCGGCTTACATCATATGTATGGAGTCAATAAAGTTCTGGGAATAGAGGTGAGCACTTGCACATTTCATTTCAAGTATGTTCAAACAGTCAATCTGTGTTGAAGTAAAGTACAGGTTGAAGAGGTTGTTTTGCGGTTGTAGGGAGGATACAGAGGCTTTTATGCTCGGAATACGATTCCCCTGACACCAAAGGTTGTGAATGACATCCATAAGCGAGGTGGCACGATTCTGGGGACATCGCGTGGGGGTCATGATACCTCAAAGATCGTGGATAGCATTCAGGACCGAGGCATTAATCAGGTATAGCATTCACACAATGTACAGAGTTTCTTCTGTTTCTGCAACCACTATATATTGGATTCGAGGATTTTGATTTGTATCTATCTCAGGTTTATATTATTGGAGGAGATGGAACTCAGAGAGGGGCTTCTTTAATTTTTGAGGTAATATATGCAATTTGATGTTGATCCTTAAGTTTCAGACGATTGAGCAACAATCTTCATCTTTTGCAAAATGGTAAATGTCTTATGGCTCCTCTACTATGCAGGAAATCAGAAGGCGTGGCCTCAAAGTAGCAGTGGCTGGAATTCCTAAGACCATTGACAATGACATTCCGGTAATTTTTATTGTGATATTTACACCGTCTTCGAGTGCAAAACTTATACTTCAATTTGAAGAACTTCTCTTAGTGAATATCTTTTTTCATGGTTCAGGTTATAGACAAGTCATTTGGTTTTGATACAGCCGTTGAGGAGGCTCAACGAGCAATCAATGCCGCCCATGTTGAATCAGAAAGCATTGAGAATGGTATTGGTGTTGTCAAGTTAATGGGTCGCTACAGTGGTAAGTTTCAGGCATAAGCTATTCATTCAAAATTGCGATGTACTTCAACTCAATCTGGAAAATTGTCATTACAATCTGACCTGATATACTCAAACAGGATTCATAGCAATGTATGCTACTCTTGCCAGCCGAGACGTGGACTGCTGCTTAATTCCAGAATCACCATTTTATCTTGAAGGGCCTGGTGGACTTCTTGAATATGTTGAAAAAAGATTAAAAGAAAATGGACACATGGTCATTGTCATAGCTGAAGGTGCTGGACAAGATCTTCTTTCTGAAAGCATGCGTAGTAAGGACCATCAAGATGCTTCAGGAAACAAACTACTCCAAGATGTTGGGTTGTGGATATCTCAGAAGATAAAGGTTGGGATGCTAGAATAATTTAGATTGCTTTTTTTTTTATGCTTTTTGCCAATTCTAATTCGTATTAAAATCTTAATGCTTGCTGTTGCAGGATCACTTTGCAAAAAGGAAAATGATGCCTATAAATCTGAAATATATAGGTGAGTTGAAAGAAGTACCATTTTGCAGCTATTTGAAAGAGATGATCAAACCAGACCAATTTTTTGCTTCTCTTGCAGATCCCACATACATGATCCGCGCTGTTCCAAGCAACGCATCTGACAATGTTTACAGCACACTTCTTGCTCACAGTGCCATTCATGGTGCAATGGCAGGATATACAGCTTCAATTTGGCTCTGTTAATGGGAGCATGCTTCATTCCATTCCACGTAAGTTCTCCAAATCCATAAAAAATATCTCATTTGTTACTTGTTAAGCTTGGAAAGTCTAAATAAAGCAAAATTTTCACTTTCCTCCTGAGATAATTCACCTGAGGTTAAGATTGATAATTATATGCATTAGGAAAGCAATTGGTGTTGAATATAAATCAAGGTTTTTGAAGTTTAATATTTTCTTGCGTGTAATAATGCAGCGGATTATTGAAAGCAGAACAAGTAGTGATAACTGACAGGATGTGGCAGGCACTCTTCTTTCAACTAATCAGCCAAGCTTCTTGACCCTAGGATATCACTAGAAGCAAAGAGGGAGAAGAAGAACAACAACAAAACCATTGTTAAGCGGGGAGAGCTATATGCTAGAAGCTGACCTAAACCACAGTAGCCTCTAAATTTTGCCGTCTTATGACCCCTTTTGCTCTGTTCCGTCGTTATGCTTCGGTGTGGCGCGACAAGGTTCAATCGCGCATTATGGTACTTACGGGTGTTGATTTTCTTCCTCCTCTTCTTTTTGAAGTACTTTGACTATTAGCCCTTTGAGAGTTGCTTCTGCTGAGTTAATATGAAAGTTTATTGTATGTAGAAGAGTTAATGGACGTCTCTATATCTGCAGCTGAGCTACGACTCAATATTTGAATATGAAATTAATGTTAATTGTTTATTAGAGTTAAATACCAGAAGTTGAGGCTACTGGGCAATGTGAATTGTGGGAAATTTGCCGTCTGTTTTTTCTGTGATGGCTATGAGATGAAAAAATAAATTATGTTTATGTTTATATGAGTTGATTTTATAATTCTTACATAGTCACTGTTAGAGCCAAAAATCGTCCTTGGCCCAATAGGGAATAGGACCATTAGCGAAGACGGACCAGGCCCAGTCCTGCAAAGGCCAAGCCATGTAGTTCTCTTTTAACATGAGGTAACAACCGGCCCAAATCACGGGCACAAGCCTCTCAAACCTAGCCCATTTCCTAGGTCCTCGGACGAATCCAGAGCCCACAGCCCTGTCATAGTAATTTCCTATCCTAATCAACCTCCAATTCAAAGACGCCTTCCTATCTGACCACTTTCCTACTTGGCGAATTCTCTTATACGAGTTACCTTCCTATTGGACACGGGTAAGACAACTCACCCGACCCTAATTTCTTCTAGGGTTTACATCAGAGTCAAATGAGGACTCCTTTTCCACCAGGATGGGGAGACCAGACGCGACCACTATATAGCAGAGGCCTGCCCTCTCACAAAGGACATCAACATTACACCTTCACACCCGAGACTCTTTACTCGAGAGTTTCACTGATTCGCCGTAGCAGTCACCGCACCACTAGACTTCCGGTAATCTCTTATTCCTTAGCCCTCACTATTTTAGCCCCTTTCAGCCTTGCTGACTTGACGTCGGAGTGCCTACAGCAAACACCACCCTGTGTTTCCGTTCGCTTCACGCGGTGTTTCTCTACGTGTGCAGGTACAGCGATCGCTAGTGGCCTCAACCTCACGGGATCAGACCCCCCTTTCCGTACAGGTAGATTTTTACGTCTAACGTTTGGCGCCCACCGTGGGGCCTCTAGCATCATTCGGCGTGACGAACCCTACTACGTAGAATATCCCATGGCTGACAATCGACGACGTTAACTCACCGCTCGAGGCCAGACTGGAGGCTTTGACCGCTCTCATGCAACAGAACTTAGACAAGGTGGCCGCACTGGAAGCCGAAAACGCATCTCAGGTCGAAACCATCGCTAAAAGAGAAAGTAGTCATTCTATAACTCGAGTTTCTGCCCGACCAAGCACCCCCCAACCGGTTCCGCACCATTATCCCCTCCATGCAACCCCTCTCCACACCAGAGCATCAACCCTCGGATTCTGGTAAGGGCCGCGTCCCTTGACGCATTGGCGCTCGACTACTCCGTTCTGACTAACGGAGATAAAGACATAACAAGCGCGTCCAGTCGACCCATCCAGCCTCATGATCAAAACGATCTAACAATAGAGAATCCGAAGATCATCCCATCTCCACCATGCCACTCCCCTCCCAGTCAACCCAACACAAACCCCCTCCTGCCTGTCACCCTCGCGGGGTGAACGGCCAACCACACTAACCACTCAGCTCTTGAACTCATCCACCCCGAAAGACCGAACACTACCGACACACTCCCCTGACCGTCTATGTGGGAAGAACAACAGAACAGTGACAATGGGAGTCATCCAGCCAGAAGATGAACAGACAATGCTACCAAGGAACGCACACGGACTGATCCGTCAGTCTACCCCCCGGGGGATGACCCCACGAGGCGTACCAGACCCGTAAGACGGGATGACCCGATAGTATCCCCTTCCCCTGTGGAACAATTATTGGCTAAAACTGGCCCGACTTTGAGGCAGTAATGAAGCTATCCCAGAATGCCAATCCCAACCAAGAAGAGCAGACCGAATTGTTACGGCGATTCACCTTTTGCGGACGAGATCGCCCTGGCTGACATGCCCCAGAAATTCACTATCCCCAACATGAAACCATATGACGGTACCACCGACCCGACGACCACATAGCCTCGTACAAACAGCGGATGTTTACGTTTCAATACCCCGACCGCTTAGAGAGCCTTGTTGCAGGTTTCGGTTCTAGTTTGTCTGGTCCGCCTCCAAGTGTACACGAATCTCCCGACGGATCCATCGATTCGTTCGCTCAGCTTCTGACACCTTTGTGGACAGTTCGCCAGCAGCAAGAAGCTAGAGAAGCTTGTCGGCCGACTTGTACCGAATATCCAACGAGAGGGAACCATTGAGAGAGTATGTTAGCAGATTCACCAAAGAGAAGATCTCTATTCATTCCTGTAACCCCAGACTGTTGTGGACGCTTCAGGAAAGGCCTCCTCTAGATGGGACTATACAAGGAGCTTACAAAGCTAGGCTGTACTACCATGGAACTCTGGCCCGAGCCGTTATCCAGATAAGGTGGGAGGAAGATGAGATGAACCGAGCCGCCCATTCCAGATACCGAACCCACGAACGACAAAACCGGAACCTAGACCGGCAAGCACCGCTACCAACCCCCCTCACGAATATGGGCAAGCCAGGAGACCATATGACCGCCAACCCTTGAGAAGTAATAACAGGCAATCGGGATCGAATCAGTTCAAAATACCAGAATACAGTCTCAGCATCGAACCAACCCGGTCGTAGCGATAATGAAAGGAATGGGATCCGCTGCAAGTGGCCTGGTAAGCTCAATCCCAGGCAAGAGAGACACAACCAAGTGGTGCAGTTCCACAACGACCATGGCATAACACCGCGGACTACATCGCCTTGCGGCTCGAGGTTGCCGCACTCCTAAAGAGAGGACACCTTCGTGACCTACTCACCGACAAAGGGAAGAACACCATTAGCCAGAAAAGCTCCACAACAGTCGCCCCCTCCGCGAGAACCGACACCTAAGGGTTTCTGCTCGCTCATCTCCGGGGGATCAGAAATCATGTGTAATTACTCGTCGGCCAAGCGGTAGCTAAACCAACCACCATGAATCCAGTCTGTTCATCCGGTCTCGAGGTCATACTCCCATCGATTCAGTTCGAGGATGACGAGCCGATCACCTTGGTTGCCCCTCACCCGATGCTTTAGTCCTCTCCCTGCAAATAGCCAACATCCTAGTGAAAAGGGTGTTCGTAGATGGGGGTTCGTCAGCGAATATCCTGTTCCTCGAAGCAGTAAAAGCGATGGACTGAGAAGCAAAAATACAACAGACGACCGACACGCATGGTTGGATTCAGCTCGGAACAAAAGTACACAATCGGGGAGATCACCCTTCCTACTATGCTGGCGGAGTGAACAAACAGACATCTTCCTGGTGATCGACTGCCCATCCCCCTACAACGTCATTTTGGGCCGTCCTTGGATCCATGACATGCGGGCATGTCCATCGACTTTCCATCAGAGATCAGGTTCCCAACCAAGGTGGGAGTGCGGGAGTCAAGGGCGACCCTAAAGCTTCTAGGGAGGCTACAAGAACGCCTTCAAGGCAAGGGAAAACCCTCATAGCAATTACAGTCTCATCCACCCCCGCGAACCGAGCCCGATCAACCGACCATGGAGGAGCGGATGAGGTACAGATACATCCGGATGACCCAGAGAGAAAAAACACACATGGCTCCCGCCTCGACCCCGAGACAAGAGAAAAGCTTATAGGTTTTCTAAAAAGGAACAGAACTGTTTCGCCTGGTCCCATGCCGACATGACCGGATCAATCCAGACGCATGGTCTACCAGCTCAAGGTAGATCCAGACTCACCCGCCAGTCAAGCAGAAGAGGAGAAAATTCGCACCTGAACGGAACCAGACATCAATGAAGAGATCGAAAAACTCCTAAACAACGCATGATCGAGAGTCCACTACCCATGGCTGCAAACTCGTAGTCGTAAGAAGAAGAACGGGAAGTGGAAAGTCTGCTCGACTTCACACTTGAACAAAGCCTGCCCCAAAGATTCTTTCCCCCTCCCCACATATTGACATGATGGTAGACGCGACCGCAGGGCACGAACTCCTCAGTTTCATGGACCCTTCTCGGGATACAATCAGATTCTAATGCATGCGGACGACCAGAAAGACAGCTTTCATCACAGAGGGGAACCTATTGTTACAAAGTAATGCCGTTTGGACTGAAAAACGCCGGAGCCACCTACCGTCTGGTCAAATAAATGTTCTCTGACCACTTAGGGAAGACCATGGAAGTTTACATCGACGACATGCTCTCAAATCCCTGATTGCTGAACACACCCTTGACCACCTTAGCCAGGCATCGCCATTCTCCGGATACAACATGAATGAACCCAGAAAAGTGCTCATTCGGCGTCTATCAGGTAAATTCTTAGGCTATATGGTTACTCGCGAGGAATAAAGCAACCCCGACCAGATCAAGGCGGTTCTCAGCATACCATCCCCAACTTGCGTCAAGACGTCCAGCGTCTTGCAGGACGAGTGGCCGCC